GAGAGACGCGAGTTTTTAGAAGACAGTAATTAAAAATAATGTTGATTTATATTCACAACAGATATATATATATACATATATATATATATATATATATTTCTCGCGCAGAAATATTTCTTGTTTTTCTCGAGCACTCATCTTGACACTGTTATTCGTTGTTTACAAGAGCTGTATAGTTCCCATTTATAGTTCCGCGAGAAACGACGGCGGAGTATCACGTACGCGCAGTAAAACGGAAACACGCGGCGCGGCAGCAACACTTCTACCGCCGTTATAATCGACCGGAGAGAGAAGGAGCTGTTCTCTTCCCCAACTTTGAGCTTTATTGCATTAGCAATGCAACGCCGATCGGACGTAGCGGCGGCGCAGATGGTCTTTTGCGATATCGTATCGTCCTATCTAACGTCTTTGGCACGAGCAAACGAGATTAAGGATAACGAGGATGAGAGTAGAAAGAGATCGGACGAGTGAGGGCGACGAGGTCTTTCCCGAGCGGTACATCTTGAGCTACGTAGTTAATGGAAAGAAGTCGAGGCATCTCCTTGCGCGCATTAACAATTCGAAAGGTCCTCCTCCTCCTCCTCCTCCTCCTCGCTATTTCGCCCTCTTCTCTTTTTCCCCTTTTCCTTCTTCCGCTCGTCAGGTCGTCGGTCGCGCGCGCCACTCGCTCCGGTAAAAGACGCTCATTCGAAATGTAGAAAGGCAATCGCACACAGTTTTGCCTGCCGTCGGGCTCGCGTCGCTTCGCGTTTCGTTAGCGTCGTAATGGCCTGGTGAATAATCCCGGCAAATGAATTTAAGACAAAAAAAAAAAAAAAAAAAAAAGGTGTCGCCGAGCGAGCGCAAAGGCCTCCTTGTGGCTCTCCGGGGACGAGATTTTTTTTTTCCCTCTCGAGTTATAAATTTCCGGACTACGCCGGTAGTTAATAGAGACAATAAAAGAATGAGGTGACCCTCGCTATCGTTGAGAAATATCGCTCGCCCCCGTTCTCATAAATCTGAGATTCATCCTATTTAAGACACGAAACGGAGGGTGAGAGCGGATTCGTTATCAAGCCTTAAATAATCTTTTTCGCATCCGGGATTAATTAAGTCGGCTGTGTGCCCGGCCGCTGTACTTCGGAGAACGCGAAGGATCAAACGGCGATGTGACATGTTTGCGACGTTACACGTATATAATATATATATATATATACGTGTATAGAGACGCGCGTCGCAGATTTCAGTCGTAATAAATTCATCGTTTTCGAAACAACGTTATTTGTTCAACCCGACTGACAGATTCTACAGTATTTCAATCGACGTATTGTTGGTTTAATATTACAACGTATGCGCGTTGTGTGACCTTTTTGCAATATATCGTAATCTTTATTTATCTACCTTCGACGAGAGAGACGCGCGTAATTTCTCTCTCTCTCTCTCTCTCTCTCTCTCTCTCTCTCTCTCTCTCTCTCTCTTTCTTCGAAATACAAGGGTTTCACGCGCGCAATAATTTATATCGCGAGAGAACGCTCGCGAGGTTTGAACGTGTTAATAACTTATTCCAGCGACAGCCCGCGTCGCGTTGTCAGACGTAAGACAAATGCGCGGGCTGATTGCATTTAAGAGAATCCTGGAAATCCGCGGCCAAAAGGGGCGGGTATCGAGAGCTCTTAATCTCACCCGGGATCGATCGCGCGAGACGCGCGCAACTTCTTCATCCCTCTTCATTAATTTACCTCGTAGGCACCTGTAGTATCGGGGCTCGTTTTCATCGAACGGAGAGAGAGGTTAATTGCCGCGCGATACGTGCGAAATGTTAATGACCCGTGCGAGGTGACGACGAGGTGAAGTTAAACGATCATATCGACGCTTCACGTCGATGGCGCGGTTTAGAATCTTTGCAAGGACAAATCCTCGATTCACGTTTACACGCGAGTGTCGCGCGCGATTCGCGAAAATCAATACGCGAAAATCTGATCAACGATCTGCTCTTTTTTGTTTTTTTTTTTGTTTTTGTCGCGACGCGACGGGAAAAAACATCTCGCGTTTTATCGATTTGCGGCGGAGTGTCGTTAAAAATTGATCCGCACAAAAGTAAATGCCGGACGAGCAAGTGAACAGAGCGATCGACGGTTTTTTTTACACCGGATTTTGGGAACATCGAGCGAAATCCCGACTGCGCGTCAATAATCGACGCGGCTATCGTTCAGCGTAGCAATTTTACGAGCCTCGTTATCATTCGCGCGAACCGGGGGACCGGGAAAAGCCTCCTCTCGCGTACTCGAAATCCACGGACAGCTGTGGTTCCGAGCCGCGAGGACTAATTCATGGATTTTGGGAGAGAGATTAATTGGCAGAGAATTAAAAGCGCGCGGTGTGTCACAACGTTGATATTACGGCGCGACGAAAGAAAGCACATTTCCCCCTTTTTTTTCCTCACTCTCTCTTTCTCTCTTTTTTTTTTGTGTTCACAAGCGTTTTTTGTTTTTCCAACCGTGAAAAGCGACGAGAAACTTCGATGCTCGCGTCTGCGAAAAAACACAGCAATGAAACAAACAACTTTTAAGAGACGAGAAATTATAGAAAATTCTTTTGCGCTTTTTTACATTTTTTATTACGAAGATATTTTTTTACGGAGATATATATTTAACATCGAGGGGTAATTAGAATTTTAAAAACAAAGACTGCTTGCACGTACAGTGTCGTAAGTGCTGCAAAATAGAACGCCACTACAAGTAGACAATGGAAATACGTAACGCGCGTAACCGGACACGTAGCATGACATGCAAAGAAATGGAGCACACGCGTGTGCTCGTTCGTAATCGACTCGAGAGAAAGGTGATGATAAATCGGCCGATTTGTCATTCGCAGTTTGCGCACAACGTTTTGTGGATGGATGAGCAACTTTCGAATAATCAACTCCTCACATATTTTTTTTGCTTTTACTTCTTTACGAAATCTTCGACAGAACATTGCGCGTTTGAATTACTTCGCTGGGCGGGATTTGAACTGACGGAACGTTCCCCCGTTCGTCGGAAAGATGATTTTCAGACGAACAACTGTCCAAACGTTCGGTAAAAGTGAACGAGAGAAAGAAAGAAAGAAAGAAAGAAAGAAAGAAAAAAAGCAACGCGCGCGGGGAAAAGTTGCGAAAAACGATCGTCCCGTCCGGCGCATACTGTTCATGACCGGTCCGAGGCAAAACTTTGATCGTTCGGGACAAAGCGAATTCCAAAAAGGGAGCGGCGACGGGAGCCGAGAAAAATAGAGAAACACTTGTACGCAAGAACGAACGTGCTCTCCACGTTCTCGCCCCCTGCGATGTTACGAACTTGGGCAATAAGGTGGCAGTCAGTTGCAGAAGGTCGTGGATAGTTTTGGAAAGTTGCGACACCGGCAGCAGTATCCTCTCTCCGCTGGCTTCTATATTCGGTAATAATCCGTTGCTATTTATTAACCCGTTCTCTTCTTTCCCCCCTCCCCCCCGTTTCCTCATCTACGCCCGTTGGAAGCGGGGCGCACGACGAGAGAACTCGCGAATATTTTGCGCGTTCTCTTGTTTTGTTTACGAAGCCCGTAAATTATCAGAAATCTCTGAGATCTTGCTGTGTTACGACTCTTTGCAAATCTCTCTATTTATCTTTGACCTATGTGAGTGTTTATTTTTTTTTGTTTTTTTTGCCAACAGAGCGTTTCTTCCTCGCAAGTGCACCAATTTTCGCGCCGGTTATTATCGCCATTACGATAACACATGCGCACATCTTTCGCGTAGATGCGCGCGGAAAAGGGTCGGCGAAAATAAGAGAAATCGCGCGAACAAACGTCTGGCGCGCAATATTGAAACAAAGCGCCGCTATTTTGAATAATTATAACTTGCCCTTCCGGGGCGAGCGCGGCAAGTTGTTTTCGACCCGTCTGTCGAAATCCGGAAAACCATCCTTTTTAGACAATCCGCACGTCGTTGCAACGTATTTCGAACATAGCGGGCGTTTCCCCCGCTGTCAAGCCCGTAATCTTGTATATTGGTGGAATTGTAAAAAAAAAAAAAACGGCGTAATAAAATGTAAATATGTGAGAGAGAAAGAGACAAACAAAAAAGAGAGAGGATTGAAACACTGAAAACAAATATTACACTGTCCGTGAGTATTCTTTTGCAAACAATATGTGCGCACGCGCGCGCTTTTTTCTTGTTTAGAACAAGCCAATTTTTTATTTACACACAATGGCAACGTGAAGCTTTTGTGTGCGAATGTTTGTTTTGGCATTTAATCACAAATGTTAGTTTTTGGGAGCGGAAGTCTAGTATTTCCAAACAATAATAGGCTCTTTAATTCCTGACACACACTCGGATACTCGGTATTTCGCGAATGTTTCCGTTTAAATTCGCGGGGTCTATCCGCGAAGGTATTATCTTTGCCAAAGAAGTGAGCGGAGCAGCAAATTAAATCGTAGAAGTGTGTTACTTCGGGGAAATGAAAGCAGGTAAAACCCCCGGCTCTATACAAGTTGCTCGCGGTGGTCCCGCAGATCCGTTTACGACGACGAAGAATGACAAAGGAAAAACAGGACGCGAATAAGCGGAGGAGAGAGCTAGTTTGAAATTTCAAATTCATTTACGGTCCCGGCTGCCGAGTTTTAATCCGTTTTAATTATGAAAAATCGCGTCGAGAGCTGCCGACCTACCTACCTACTTTACCTCTTTTTCCCCCATCCTTCTCTTTCCCACTTTTGACTCTTCTTCTTCCGGATCCACATTTCCTTACGTCCTCACTTTACGTCCGCCGTGAGCGAGGATCTCGTCAGTCTTTCTTAGCCACGCGTCGTCCGTCTAAGTGACACGATCGCAATTTTCTCACGTGTCTCAGTTATTGTATAATCGTCAAATTAGTTTATGAACGACTGCATTTCAAAAAATCGCTTCGAGATTGTCGATGTGAGAAACTGAGTTTCTACATGTAACAACTTAGCACAACGCTGTCTCTTTCTCTCTCTCTCTGTCTGTCTCTCTCTCTCTCTCTCTCTTTTTCTCTCTCGTGCGCGCGGACGTTGACAAAAATATTCCACTCCTACATTTCTCCAAGACATTCCATTTCCTTGGCTGTCATGCGTTTCTCCTGTTTATCGACATATTCAATTACCGTGATGACATGCACATTAGGTCCTGCGACATCCGAAGATATAGAAAAGATATGCATTCTCTTTCAGATATCGCGCGGTAAGAGTATCTCGACCCAAATATATCATTCCTTTCCTCGCGGCAGTTTTCAAATATTCAGATAGCTCGCACAAATCGCGTATTACGAATTCCGTTTATTTCTCCGTCTCCGTCGAAAACGACGGGATAACGACTTCAATTACGCGCCTCGATTGTTGCAGCGATTACAGTTCGAAAAACACAAACGAATCTCCGAATAAATTTATACGAAGAGCACACGACGCGATCGCGTAGTTTACTCCCTTGCTTGCTTCTTGAAAATTAATTTTTCGCGCTTCCGACTTCTTTCTCTTCGTCTGTAAAAAAAAAGAAACACAAATTTCTATCCGCGTTATATCCGCGCAATAAATTCGTTACTTGAAAACACAGAAAGAATGTAAAAGCACAAATGATGTAAAAAAAAAAAAAAATGTACTTTTCCGTGTGTTTTGTATCGTGGTGCCGACGTGCGATGCATCGCTCACGGAACCGTCTCTACTTTATACATCTTCTTTGGCTTGTTTAACTTCGCGAGTTCGATGTCCATCGATCTTCTCCTCGACCTTCCTTCCGCGATTACAGCTCGCCAGTCGAACATGCGTTTGAAAGGCGTGATCTTCAATTTCGCCAGAGCTTCGGTTTGCACTTCCAGAAAATTGTATATAATTTCTTCCTCCGGTTCGAAAGCAGGGATTTTCTTTCCGAAGAAGATAAACAGACAATTTGTTATATTATATTATCACACATTTATTTTATTTAAAAACAATACGTATAGTTTCAAACTATAGAGCAAAGATTAATTCGGTGAGTCATTGTGCTTAGATATTTTTGCGCGGAATTATATTTTTATTTTAATACTTGTAATAATTTGAAATAAATTCAAAGTGAAAATTTATCTACAATGAAATAATTAAATTTATCCTCTCTCTCATGGAAATTATTCGTGCTGAATATTTTAATACGTACCATATCAGTAGTGTATGTGAAATTTTTCTAAATCTTACTGTGCACGTATGAGAGCAAGCAATATTTTATTGCTTCCACAAATTAATTCGAGCGTTTTTGTTATTATTTAATTGCAATTATATTTGCTGAGAATTTTTCGTGAAATTTACTGATTTCCTCGATCACGCTTTTTGTTCGATTCTCACTTTAACGAGCTCGTCCTCGATCGGTCTTTCGACCAACGAAGGTGTCGGGGATATAGGGGGCAGCACCAGAGCTTCTTTGTGCTCCTGCTCCGGGAAGAGGAACACGACGGCTTCTTCGAAGATCTTGTTCTGTAGATTCAGAATTTCGCGTATCTTGCGATTTTTTGTCCTCGCCTCCTGCCGCAATCTGAGGAGAGGTTCGCGCTGTCTCTCGAGAACGTCCTTGCGCAGACCCTTCTTTTCCAGAATCAATCGTTGCATGCGCTTTACGTCCATTGACAACCATCGTTTCTTGGCTTCTTCGATGAACTGCCAGGGTTTTCGCCGCTGCGAAATTAATTTAATCGATAAAAACGCAAAAATAAAAGAGAGAAAAAGAGAGAGAGAGAGAGCGAACCAGAGATCGCTTTCATTCTTCGCTCAAGATGTGCTCGAACTTGACATCTTGATAGTCGGCAATTCACAAGATGCTATTATTCACACGACTATGAACGAGATTCCATATCGGAATGCGATTTATCCATCTCTTGCGCATAAAGCGCGCCATGAATAGAACGAAGAGATAATTCTGAATTATTCATCAACGCGGAGAGAATATATACGTCAGATTGATCGTGCGCGGCGTACCGGTTTCGTAGGTGTAGTCGCGCGAACTTCCGCATCGGTCGTCTCGATCTTAATCTTCTTCTCGATCTCCGGACTCTTTTTCTCCTCCCTCAGCTTCTTTTCCATCTCTATGCGCTCAAGATTTGTCTCGCGCCACGCTTTTTGCCAGTCCTTAAACTCTTTCATCTGATCAAACGTGAAGATAAAAAGGTCGTATATGAATAGAAGAAGAGAAACGAAGAAGTTTTTTTTACCGCGCCAGTGGCGGTAAAATTTGCGGCAAATCGCTGTGGAAAAAAAAATGAGAGGAAAAAAGTTTCTTTTTTTTTTTGTTTTTGTTTTACGATCACGATTCTCATTAAGATCGATCATTTTTGTTTTACAGAAATAATAAAGGTTCGCACGAAGCGCAATGTACGCGCGAAATAACGTTGAAATGACGTTCGTGTTTTTTTTTTTATTGTGTTAAATTTTTTTATTGCGTTATTAAACGTATCGGCAAATTTACTCGTTAAATACACACAACTTTTCCAATAAAATAAATAAACAATCTATCAATTGTGTTTTGCAAAATTTGCTGTAACGCAATAACAATTTACTTGTTTGATAATTAACGTGATTATTTTAACGTTAATACGCGTTAATACTAACGTTTTAATGTATGGGGGACGCGCAATCTTTTTCTTTTCCGTTCGATAAAATCATATTCGTGCCTTTTGAAAGATAAGTTTCAAAGTTTACTTCGCTCAGAGACATCTAATCGATATCAACCAGCCGCCCGTTTTTATACTCAGATACTCACCCTTTGAACCTGTCGGTCGACGAACTTTTCGAACCACTCGATGTCGCTCACGTCATGCCTCACCAAGACGCGCGGCGTCATAAATATCCTCAGAGAACCGGTAAAATCGCAAAATCCGACACAATGCGGCTCTATCGGCAACTGATGAACGTAGATGCCCGTAATTATCCGTCCGGCAACACTTTGCGTGATACTCGGCTCGTGGCTTTTGATCGACAAATCCCACAGTTCAACCGTGCCGTCCATTCGTCCCAGACACAGTACGGGACGATATTTGCCCCAAGTGCACGCCGTGTATCTGCGTATCTCACGTAAAGCGAGTGTAATTTTGTAAAAGCCGCATTTTAACAAAAAAAAGAGAGAATCGGCACCGATTAAATTCGATGACGCGGTCGATTTAATTGATTGACCGACGCGCTTTTGTTAATTGTGTTTAGAATTAATTTCCGAGATATCTTTTTAACCAGAAAGAATCGCGCGTTTGTGTGTCACTGATGTACAATCGATAAAAGAGTACATAGAACTCGGGAACAAAACGACCGTCTGTCGAGTGCGTTTGAATCAGAGCGGGAGTATCAGCGCGACATCGCTCGATAATGATTCCCGCGACCGTGTGTGTTCGCGGGGAGTATAGGGGGGGGAGGAGGGGGGAAGGGGGCTATACATCGAAAATAGCTTTCATTAACGGAGTGGTAACGGCGCACCGAGCGTTGTAACTGTAAGTTATGATCGTATTGTCATGCAGATCATACCGAAAGTTCGCGGGCGGCGCGCGTTGTCGTCGACAACTATGCGCGGAGCGTGAAACACGAGAGCGCGGCGCAGTACAACACAAAACGCTATCGTCGCAATTACGAGCTGTGCATTGCGGCAATTTATCGCGCGGGCTCGCTCGTTATTTTTATTGCGAATGAAAACGTCGCGCTGCCGCGCTGCCGCCGCCGCCGCCGTCGTCGTCATCGTCGTCGCCGCCGCGTTTATTCACGATCGTGTTTCGTTAACTCGCTTCGCGCGTTGTTGACGTTCCTCCTCTTCTTGAAGGAAGTATTTAATTTCTTCTCACAATTCTCGCGCGATCTCTCCGTTATTTTAACGCGCTATAATTCCGTCTTTTCTCGCGCTTCTCTCTCTCTCTCTCTCTCTCTCTCACTTTCTCTCTCTACATTTGCAACGAAAAATTATTTCGCATCTCGCGCGACTGCGAGCGTTCGCTTCGGAGACGCGAGCGCTGGGAGGAGGAATCCTGATTGCGCGCTTGGCGGACGCAAAGTTGTTCCGAGTTTTTTTCCCACACTCACCCGACGTTGGACTTCCTCCAGAAAAACGGCTCGCCGTAATCTTCCCTCCACACGGCGAAGATCTTGCCGCCCACGGTGACCACCACGTTGAAACAGAAGTGCGATCTGAACGAATACGTGATCGGCCCGTCGTGTATCCTCTTTATCCAGAGCCATCGCGCCGTTTCGCGATTCACGCTGACGTCGGTGGCGAATTCGTAGCCGTCCCACGTTATGCAGCCAAAATCACCTGTTGCCCGTCGTCGTTTACGCTTTAATCCACTTTGCGTCGTTGATATTAAATTAGATCGTTCTTATTTAACCCCGGGATTTGAGCTTAATTATAATCGCGCGTTTAAATTGCATTAATATTAATTCAACTCGAAAAATAATTACGTGCGCGCGTTTGCGCTTTCGTTTTTTTTTTTTTTATGTCAAACCGCAATCGCGGTGGTTAAAAAAAAAAAAAAAAAAAAACGTACGAGGGGTGAGGGAGTTTGTTCACCTTCCGCAGTACCGACGAGTATCTTCGGCTCCATCAAGAAGTCCGTCTTTTCGACGATCGTTTTGTAGTACTTTCTAATTGTAATGTCGTCCCTCGTCGGGTAAGGTTCGACTTGCACACTGCGGAACGTCGGTTTGCACATGTTCAACGTCGTTATCACGACTTGCCGGCTCTCGTCCGGATATTGAACCACGAGGATATAGTCGGGCTTGAAGACGCGATCGAAGATCTTGAAGGGCGACGTGGTGGCCTCGTCGTTGTGCGGTTTCTTTTTCTTCGGCTTGCCAAGGGCTTCGCGTATATCCTTCTCCGTCGGTTTCCATCTTTTTAAGAGCATCGTTAAAGTTAAATTAAATCTTAACGCGTAATCTCGTTCTTAGAATAACAACGAGAGGGATAAATAATTATTAGAAAACCGCAGAGCACTGTTTTTTTTTTTATATTCGCAATATTCTCTCATTAGTTCAAACGCTTCGCGTGAGTCAAAGATAAAATTCTAACAATCAACGATGCGATTAATTGCTTCTCATCTCTTTTATCTGAATAGAAATTCATCGCAATGCGAACGTCACTCGCAAATATCGTGCCAATTTCGTGCTAAGTGAGGAAACAATTTACTAGTGTGCGAACATCTGCATAGCCATTGTGACCGAAATGAAGAGGGGACTCTCTCTCGCACCCCACTGAATGCGCACAGAGAAATCGACGAGGCTAAGGAGGTTGGTAGTTGGCGGATCCTGGAGGACTACTCCGGACAGCACGAAGGGTTAGAAGCGAGGACTGAATACCGATCGACGATTATAGAGGGATGGTCTATCCATTTTCGGACCATATAAACGCCAAGTTCGTAGAATCGAGAAACGACGGGGAGTCAAGTCGCAGGACCATTACGATTCCGTAGGTAGTTTCTCGAGAGGGATGGGGACGAGGAGTGAGAGCGAAAAGCGGGGAGATCGTCGTCGTCGTCGTCGTCGTCTCGCGTCCAAAGAGATGGACCCGAAAGGCAAGTCGAACGACCACGGTGTTCGCTCTTTAACGTTTCGCCTGCGAGAGGAACAAGTTTCGATGTTCGAGGAACATTCGAAGTCGCTAACTTCCCGTCCCGGGAGATACGACGGCTTCCCGGACCTTTCTCGTGGTTACCAATTACCTATTGATTCGGGATCGCTCACATATCTTTCAAACTGTTCAGAATGTTGTTGCATTTTTCAAGACGAACTACACAACATTTTTGTTTTGAATAATAGTATACGGACATTGCGAAAGTAAAAAAAAAAAAAAAAAAAGAAAGAAATCCTTCTTCTTCGATGAAGGTGAAAATATTTGAATGTTTCGTATTTTTTCATGTCCTTCCGAGACCGCGATTTAACGCGATTCTGGATGTGACATTTGATTTTATTTCGCGATGCGGAATTTTTAAGACCGAAGCACAAACATTAAAAATAAGAAAAATGTGTATCACGTATTAAAAATTCTAATAAACACATGTAAATTATTGTACGTACGCGTCACAGAGACATTTTCTTCAGAGAGTTTAAAGATTCTCTCTCTTAAACTCTCTTTTATAAGCTTTCATGCAAGAAGTTACCATACTGCAAGTAGAGAAGAGCAAAGAGCCATCTGCTTGATCTTTATTACAAAACGGAGGACTATACATTTACGGTAAGTGTGTAATGCACGTAATACACGTAATATTTCAAAAGTGTTTGTGCATTATCCAACAAGCAAGCGCCGTTTTGTTTAAATACGCACATCTGCGTCGTATTCTAGTTTAAAATATTTTTTTAAATTATTACTGCAAAAATATTGCTGTAAAAATATTTGTTTCTCATATGTATGTGAACACAAATAAAAATAATTCTTAATTACAAAATTAAACGGGGATGAAAATTTTCACGAGAAATATCAAGAAAACGAGAATATTATTAAATTTACTTGAGATTCTAGAAAGCAATCGTGTCGTTTTGACTGACGGTTGCGATCTGTCAGATCGTCCAAGGGTAAAAAACACAAAGGATATTTCAAAACTAGATAATTCAAAGATAATTCCAAACTAGAAAATTATACGGGAATAAAAAAAAGTTTCACGAGAATATCGAAAAGAAAAAAACAATATATCAAATTTACTTGAGATTCCAGAAGGCGATCGTGCCGTTTTGACTGGCGGTTGCGATCTGCCAGTACAGATCGTCCAAGGGCGTGTCCTCCGGTAAAGAAACGATCCTGCCGTTTTTGTCGATCTTGTAATGCGGCGGCGTCCAGGATATCTTGGTGATGCCCGCCTTCTGGCTGTACTTCAGCGAGGACATTGCCGTCGGACTGACATACGAGGTCTTCGTCGTATCGAGCATCCACATCATCAAACTTCTCATGGCGATACTGTATTTCGCCTGGGCGCTCGTCTTCGTCACCACCGCCTCCACTTGCTCGAGTTTGCCGGGAATGTGCCAAATGACGATCTACGGTGAAACGGTACCGATGGATTTTATCGCCGTCCTTTCCTTTTTCATCTTGAACGTTGCAGTTTCATAGTTCGCAGCTTGTAGCAAAACGTTTCCCTCATATATGAGAGAGCACATATATATATATATATATATATATATATGTATATATGTATGTGCTCTCATTGACACGATTCTGTTACAAGCTGCGAACGTATACTTTTCAATTCGAAAGTTGCTGAATCGAACTTGCAAAGAATATCGCCGGCACACTCGATACTTCAGTGCCCGATACTCGAGAAAAAGTATAAAAATGATTTTCGATATTAAAGTTTTCGTATAAGATTAGCGTTCAACACACGAGCGCGCGGCAAAAATATATGTGATACCGCGAAAACATTTTTATATTTTCGTAAATACATAAAAGTGCGGGCTTTCGTAAGTAATAACGGTAGTGTACGAGTGTAAACAAAAGAGCGCAATAAAATCAACGTAAACAAGCGTGTGCGGAAATAATCATGACAACGATCTTTCAAACGATAAAGATTTTATAAAAATACGCCGTTTTGTATAACTCGTTCCATCTAACACACCACAGAAATTGTTGATAAGCATAAAAAACACAGTTGGGATTTCTAAAATAACAAACGGGTAATGTCGCTTGTGAATGTTAAATAATATATTCATATACGTACGGCGGTCACGTACGGGCGGCGGCCCCTCCGTCATTGTTGGCAGCGTCTGTAGCGCGCGCGCGAGAGACTCACGCGACGGAATTGCAAGCGCGACTAAGGCCCTGTTTTGGCCTTGTTTATGCGAGTAATAACTGTTAATTTATGCCGAAATTGGTACAGTTCAACTATAGGATTTCAATGCTTCTGTTATATTCTGTTATGCTTCTGTTAATAAACAGAAATATTAAAATCTTAGGCCCGCATAAACCAGGTCTGACTTCACGCGTCGCAAGCTCTCTCCGTCGGACGAGAGTGACTCGCGCGCGCGAACGCTTCGTCGTTCTTTTTGCTCGTCCCGAGTGAATTTCGCGGACGAGCGAGTGCCGGGAATGCCGAATCTAACGACGGGCGATCGCATCGACGTCGTTATTCGACGTGTGCAATCCCGATTGATCGCGCATCGATGATCGTCGGAGTTCCGCGACGAGTGTTTTGGTTGTTTCGGCGCGGAGTGTCATGACGTCGTGGCGTTCTCTTCGCGAATTTCTTTCGGAAAGTTGCGTACCTATCTCGCGGTATTTCACTCGACGAGTGCGTTCTCTTTGTTCTCGGACGACATTCAAAACAAACGCGACTTGAAGTCGTCTCTTGCTAATCTAAATCTCAATGTTTATTCGCGTAAGAAAGTATTCCGTCGGTATTCGCCGTGTTCGCAGCGACTTTCCGAATTTGATCGAAAATAAAATCCATTTCGGAACGTAGTGATTAAAAAAAAGTATCTACTTGCGGTGTTTGTTTACATCGTGAATCGATATCGATCGCGCTCCGTTCGTCGAAACGATCTGTTTACATACGCGCGCGAGCAACAAGATCGAACAGAGATAAACAAATTGCCAACGCACTCCGGGAGAAACTCATCGAGAAGGTTTTAACGCAGATTGTTTAACATTTTGCAACTGTGGCGAACTGTGCGTTCGCGGCGTACGGAGGACGTGAGGAGAGAAGGTGAAATTGGAAACGCGAAGAATTGTTGCTCCGCGACGAGACCGGTGAGTGTGTTTGCAACAGATATCGTTTACAACATATCGAACTAAAGTTTGTTATCAAATTACTTCTCGAGTTTAAGTAACACGAGTTTTTGAGCGGAAAATACGTAAAAATATTCTCTTCTTTCGATTGCGCAAATAAATTAGACCGTCAGGATAAAAGGTGCGAAGAGATAAAAAAAATGCGTTGAAAAGATTCAGTCACCTGGCCGTTTGCGCAGCCACCGATAACGACACTGCCATCAAAAGGACAAACGGTAATGGACGTCACTTCTCGTGGACATTCGAGGATCAGTTTTGGTGACAAAGAGTCGGTGAACGACCATATCAGCACTCGGTTATCGCCTTCGCAGGCTAACAATACCTGCGCGTAAAATAGAAAAAAAAAAATTTGTCGCATATGTCAGAGAAAATTTTATTTATTTACGTGTTTTTTGTTTATTTTTTTTTATATGAAAGTAAAAATGTGGCAGATAATATGTTTGGTACGACGTTAAAATTTAATTGAAACTCAGTCTCGGTTTTTTTTAGATTGTTTACGCGCGAGAGATACGTTAATAAATTCGATAAGTAGTAGTTTGCAACAAACCTCGTCGTAAGCTTTCGGGCCAATCAGATAATCGGATTTGGCGTGTTGCGTGTAAGTAGCTATCGCGACTCCGGTCCAAAACGGATGCCAGACGAGATCGTTGATGACTTTGTCCATGGTGATCTTTCCATCGTGGTAGCTCTGGTGTTCCTTGAAACTCACGGGCACCGGCGCGCGCGTATCTTTTTCACTGCGCACCAGATTCGCGTAATCGTTGGTGTAGATGTCCCACGTGGAGTTTATTAGAAGCTAAAACACGACGAAATAATCCAATTCTCATACATATTTCTACTATCAAATATTTTCTAGTAACAATAAAAAAAAAAAAAAAAGAAAAATTGAATTACCAACGCTTGTAATTGCTCAAAAAGTTTTAATTGTTGATTTGATATCGCACAGTTTTATTTTTGTTTATTTTGAATTTCAATAATAAATTTCAACAATAAATTTTTCTCTCGATCAAAGAGTCGTTTCACGGAAAAAAAATCTACTGTACTTTATTCAACGAATCGTAAAATCGACAAAAATGTTTTTCAACGTTACTTGATCGCACATGTCATCGGTGTAACGTTGCAGGAAGTACTTGAAGGAATCTAGTTTGTCCTCGGCGTAAGCGGACAAATCAATCGTCTGGTATTCGTATAGATATTGGATCCAGGAGTTGGCGGGAATCGATGGGGCCGTTTGCACCTCGTTGTTTTGCGGGATCGGCATCACTTGCGTAGGCCTGCTGTATACTTTACGCCACACATTCTCAAATATTTGATGACTGTACGGCAACAGTTCGACGTACCCGTCCCTTTGGTCGTCCGCCTTTCTGTCCGTTAGATTCAACGGCTTGTTCAACACATCCGCGTCACACATTGCCTGAACGAAATTAAATTTGATACGATCTCTTTCTCTCTCTCTCTCTCTCTCTCTTTTTTGTTCGATACATCATCAATGACATTATGCAAACTGTATGATTTGCACGCTCTGCGCGTGCCCACAATTACGATTAAATAATTGTTAGTATTTTAGAGGATTTATGAACTATTTCTCGAACAAAGATATCGGAGTGATTAATAAATAATGGATTGTAAATTTATAAATGCCGTTGTGCGATATTGTCGATTTACAGGCGCGGTATTTATAAACGAGATTAGTAGAAATTTACGATAATCACTTTAATACCGCGGTATTAACGAACGTGAACTATCAATATCCATCTTGTGTGGCACACGTGTGGGGTCACGTATATTGATGCGCGTTGTCGAAAGAGAAAGAGAGAGAGAGAGAGAGAGAGAGAAAATGTAATAGAAATTTTCAAAAATCCCCAGTACGTCGCGCTCGACACGAATATGAGCCCGGTCGAATAGATATGCAAATCGTGACTGAAGTTTTACGACTACAAAATGAAAAGTAGCCCGACTGAGAAAGTACGTTATCTATAGACACTCGAGATTTTACTGGCCAATAAGTTTTTGATTCTATCTCTTTGCAATTTGCTCCGATATCTTCGGCAAATTAATGATTAGAATAATGCGAATTAAAAAAGATTTAATATGATAATATTCCTCTCAATGTTTCAAACACAAAAAAATCACTTCATCAAGTCTAATTTTCATATTTCTGTGCAATTTGTTTTACAAAACAAAGTTCTGAAAACGGATTACTTATATTCTTCGCTTTTTTGCAAATATTTCGCGTTATTTAAATTGTTTATAACATAAAAACAATAGTGAAAACACGGAAATAATAAGTTTTAACACGTCGGACCGGATTCTTTGACACCCGAAAAACCACGATTTATGACTGTTTAATGCTCAAAGCCTGCGGAAGCGCTGCGAGTAGTTCAAATATGAATTGGGCCGTGTGAATATTGAATGCCGTTCGAACCTCAATCTCGAGAAGCGGTCTTGTGGGATGGACAATACTAGCTTCGATCTCCTTGTCGCTTCCCCAATTGTACCAATCGCCGATCGTTTTGTAAATTGCGTTTTTCACACGATTTTCGTGATCCTCTCTCTCTATTTGTATACGCCTCATCATGGCGTCTCTGCCTTCTGTCGTGAGAGCGATGTAAAATTGACCTTCCTTGGTCAAGGAGGGCGCGTAGCCGATGAGAATTTTCGAGTCGGAAAACGCGAGAATCTCGTCCTTCACCGGCAGAAAGTCGCTGCTCTCCGCGTGCAAATCCAAATTATCCTCGATGATTTCCTTTCGAACGTACATCCACGGATATTCGGTGGTGACGTTCTCGTCGATGACGCAGCCGATGATTTTCTGCGTCAGCGGTGACAAATCGATCCTCGCTATTCCCGGCAATCCCTAAAAATCGAATCGGTAAACGAAATCTACATTGAGTTCACTCCGTGAACTTGACGTCGAAATATGACGATTTCTCGCGTATCTTCACGCGTGCAATTTCATCCCAACTCGTAATAAAATTTGTCCGAACTTCGGAAAGAAAAATATGTTTTTTCTCTCGGAAGAGACCAGATGGAAGATATTTACCACCGACACGGAATATCGGACTTTTTTCATTGGAGGTTCCTCCTCCTCTTCCTTTTCATCTAATTCTCCCGTTTCTTTCACTAATTTCCGTATGTCGGCCGCTGAGGGTCCAGCGGAGGACTCGTAAGAGTCGAGTTCGTAGATGGTTTTCCGTCTTGTCGACGATTGATCATTCATTTCTATATGAACTCTCTTCTTCGCTTCTTTCTCCCAATCTTGTGTCACTGACACCGTTGATAAAAAAAAATGAAGTAACTCAATAGAGAAGTTTTACAATCTAAGAAGATATTGAGAAACAATGGGGGTTTATTTATTTTTTTAATTTTCAACTTTCTAAAAGAACAGCGTTTTTACGTGAAATAAATTACGTCGCGAAACGTTAAGAGAACAAAAAGTTTTTCCTACCGTCGAGGTGCAAAATCGTCAAATTGATTAAAACAACAAAAGATATTCAGTCATTTTATTGTATAACGAGTTATGTAAATAACACGCACGACGCACTGTATCGAATTCGCATGATTCACAATTCGAAATAAACCAGAATCGACAATCCCTTTTATTATCTCAATCAAAAATTCGCCGCGCTTTAAATATCGCGTCATTCATATTTGAACATATTTACGGTTGGCTAAGTTTACGTTTCATTGTTAACACAGTGCGTACTTCCATCCCGACACGCGTATCCCGATACGCATCATCGATCTTCGTTCGGTACATAATTTTAACCCATTCGTTACATAGTTCCAATATTGGTACATTCGACATTATCGACGTTCTCCCGACGTAATGTAGAGCGCGTTGTACACTTTCGACGACGGCGTATTTTCATTAAAGAATATTTGCTTTCGAATGAATTTAGCAAAATGTGTTTATTATACAAGTGCAAAGTTCAAAAAGGTACAACGCAACATCGTAATAATAATAATCCGTTTCTCGTGTGTAATAATTTTGCCATAAATATCAGAAAATGTTAAATACGTGAGCGCGCACATGTAACACACAACAATCTACTTAATTTTACGGAACATTATTAGTGTCAAGTGAACCGCAAAAATCTTACGTTATCAATTATTGTTTATATATATATGTATATATATATATTGCGTCACGTCGAAGTGTTATCATAACCTACTTTCTTCCGTTTCTTTTTCGTAATATTCCTTTTTTTCCGAGTCGAAAAATTGCTCTTCTACCTCGGAAAAGTCCTCGTCGTGTTTTACCGTTATATCATTGTCTTTAAATTTTACATTTGCCGACATTCTTTTCTCCTTTGTCTCGCGGTCTTCGTCCTCCGTGTCCATGATAAATTAAACTTCTCGGTTTGATTATTTTCCTCCGAGTTCGCCCCGGCGAAAATTTTACACTACGCGAAATTACAAAATCACGTGCGTTCGCATATACACGAAGCGATGTACGTACGACGTGCAGCGAATGAAACGCGATGAGAGACGAAAGACAGAAGAAATCTTCATGTTGCGAAACGAGAATCGGTGGGAATCGGTTCGCGCTACCTCAACGACGCACGAGTGCAGCAATTTTTTTTTTTTTTTTTTGAAATCCGAACTAACACGGCGACTGGCGATACACGAGGCTTAACGAAATTTTGAGTCCAGAGTACATTTGCAGTTTGATTGAACATTGAAATCTCGGGTTTCACCGTCGGCACGCAAAAGGGTGGACGGACGTTTCGGAATATCAATTTTTCCCTCGAAATACGCGCGCGCGCGCGCACGAGCGACGAGGGCGATTTAATTGTTTTTACATCAGGCGAATGAAACGAGTCGCCCGTGCACTTAACCCATTTCGCCAAACTCGATATACCGCAGGCGTTGTCAGCGTTGACGAAACGTTTTATATAACCCAATGAGTAATTTAATTGCGCGCGGCGACCAATTTGTCGTTTTAAACGCGATATCGTCAATTGATAATACGGATTGAAAACCGGTGTACGCATTATATAAATATTGCGACGTATTAATGTAATATTACATGTATAATCACGCACTAAATAGGAAATATAACTCGTTATTATACTATTACGCAAATTATATTGTTTTCTCATCGACTACGAATATTTATCGCTCGCTACTTTTCAAGTTTCTCTCTTTCTCTCTCTCTCTCTCTTTTTTTTTATCGGTATATAATACAAAATTAATTGCAAAGATATGAAATTTTCTTCGCAATTGCTCGAACAAACATGATGCAATTACAACATCGGGCTTGTAATTAAAAGGTTTCCATCGGACAGCTGTTGGAAATGCAATTACGTTGCGTATAAAATATTTTTTGTCAAAGCGCGCACTTTTACTCGTGAAATGTAATAAATTGTTTTGCTGTGAATGTAAATGTTATGCAATGCCGTTAATGCAACCTCGTGACGGAAGAAATTTCGAGGCAACCGCTTTGCCAAAATGGAAAACAAGTATAATTAGTATTAATTCGCAATTTGTGGTGGTTTTGTAAACAGAGTCGTGTCAATGATATTAGTAAATCTATATTGAGACAATATCGTGTACATAAAAAATATCAAAATATCATACGCGCAAAGAAAAAACGTGCACGGAGTTCTGCGTGTGTGTGCGCGTCACACACAAAAAAAAATAATAATAATATCAAAGCAACGTTAAATTTTCTCTCTCTTTCTCTCTCTCTTTCTGTCTGGCAAAATTTATATTTTACTCATGCGAGATGCGACAGTCAGAGATAAACTTTCGTACATCTTTATATGTACATTGAATGCATCTTAAATTCCTCGCTGTTATGATGTTGCTACGTATACGGGAGGATCGTCTTTCCCATCTCCACGTTAAGCACGGAGCAAATATTTATTCAAGATTATGGCGACGCGGATTACGCCTTTATCCCGCGCGTAATGTAGCATATTTCCGCGTATGATAGTAGTCCACATGTACATATTTCAAACAGAAGTGCATTTCCGTTCGAATTGTCGTCCGTAAAATTTACGACTTTCGTGAATGTGCGTGCGTGAAACTCCGAACAATGCGTTTGCTTGTCAAATTTACGACAGATTTTAAATGTGCCGCATTTAAAATCTCACTGTATTGTTACGCGCACTTGGAACATTGTCAGACAACAAGACCATCGTTTAATAATTAGATTAGATTCTTGTCGTGAACCTTTAGTAAATTTTTACGCGCGAAACACACAAAAGAAAAACAAATATGACAGTATAATAAAGAATAAATGTGAATTAAAAAAAAAAAACGCTCTGTAAATCGCGAAAGAAAACGTGTTGCGAAGTCAAAAGCCAGAGAAAATGATGTGAGATAATAGGAGAACTGATGCAAATGTGGCGCTGATAGTGCGTCCCGGCAATTAAAATGTATAGGTCGTTTGCGTTTAAAATATGCGGAATTTTTTTTCGACGCACACGTATTTTACTTTATACATAATACATCATTCCATTTCAATTTTGAAGAATCTATAACGCGGTGCCATTAGAAGCGCAAAACGCATCGTTTTTTTTTTTTACGATTTATCTTTCTCTTTTTTTTTATTTCTCTTGCATACCGAGCGTTTTCTTGAAATCAAAAAAAAAAAAAAAAAAAAAGAACAGTCTATTTTATATCTGGCGCATATAACAGTCGACCGTAAAAGAGACGAGAGGTGCCAGTCATCTCTTTTTAACGGTGTTCGCTTAACGTAGGATTTCGCGTAGGCGGATATTGCGTAGCTTGCGAATTACCATTCCGCTTTTTTTTTATTACTTATATTTTTATTACCTCTATTATATAAAACGCATTACATTGCGAGGCAAATCAGCTCTCGCGAAAATAAAAACTGACTTTGTGCGTTTGCCGCGTACGACTCGCGCCGGCGAAAAAATTATTGCGATTAAATTATCAAGACGCGACTTCGTTGGGATGTTCCGCGCGAGCACCACGCGATCGCGTGTTTCGCATGCGTTACTGACAAATGCGGCATTTTCAACGTTTGGCCAAACGGCGTGGGCCCGGTAATCGGCGCGATTCGCGCGCTCGTTGAAAAAATAGATTCCGGCGTTTAGACAATTTGGCTTCGCGGCCGGGGCCGCACGGGGCGATTAATCAATTGCAAATATATACCGCGTAGATTGGAAATACACGCTGCCTATTTCCTGTTTAATCGAATCAAATTGAGATGGTATTTTCCCTGTGTCCGGTCTCCCCATTTATCGGGCCGAAATGTCGAGTGGCGCTTTCCTCTCGGCCGGTATAGAACGCAGGTAAACGACCGAAAATGCGCTCTCTTGCTAACGATTGATCGGTCAAAGGGGAAACCGCGGAAAGTTCTCGTCATTTCCGCAAGATCAAAGAGGGGAGAGAAACTAAAACGAACGGGGTATGAATTCTTTGAGACTTATTATTCTTCCGACGTCGCGGATATTAATATTTAATGAGAAGATGTAATTTTGATCGTTTTTCTCTTAAAAAAAAGCACATGGTAGTAATAGTATTAATAGTAGTAGTAGTAATAATAATAATAATAGTAATAGTAGAGTAGTAAAATAATAGTAATAGCAGCAGCAGGAGAAACAGTAGAAGATATATAGTACTGTTAAATTATATTACAGCCATTTTCTGTTTTATGCACTATTTTCGCGATGTTCTTTCATTTTTATTTTTGTTTTTTTTTTTTTTTTTTTATTGTAACTCTCGTCGTTAAATTTATCAGTCCATAACGCCGCAAAAGAGCTGAGAGTAATTTATTTATACTGAAACGGCGTAGGTAGTGGAGGATTCTAAGTGGCACTTCCTTTCGCGTTGCGAGAAGGATATTCCATTGCAAACAGATGTTAAAATGTTCGGATAGTTTTGTAAGAAAGAAAGAGAGAGAGAGAGAGAGAGAGAGAGAGCGCAGCGAGCGTTTACTGCCGCGTTTATTTCGAAAATTTAAAATGGAGCGTTTTTTTTAAGTCCCTCTGGACGGAACTTTTACGCAGGTTTTGTAGTACATAGTCAGCAACAACGGGTGGGGAGGGGAAGGGAGGGCACTTTATTGTTCTGGCTTTTATTTTGCGCACTCGCTCGCTCGCTTGTTCCCGCGAATTCGATGCTCCCTCTGGATACGGAAAATCGCCGGGACAAACGCGCGAGGCGCGCACGAGCGAAGCATTGAAAATATTGGGTTGTTTTTAACGCCATCGTTCATCTCGGCGACATGAATTTTTACGACGATTTTGACAGCTGCGAGATTTTCATATGAAAGGATCTCCCGTCGAGCTTACTAGAAAATTATTCGAGGAATAAAAAGTTTTATACTTTTTTTTTCGCTCTCCGGATTTTCCGTAAAAGACACCCGCGGCGGTTGTGCACAATATGAACAATGTGAACACTCAACTAGATCAGATCTCGATCGTCTAATAGAAATATGAAAATTATTATTTATACGTAGAAATATAATTTTGAAATCTATCTCGCGGCACGAATATCAAAACATCTTGTACAATTAATTATATTACGCTTATTAACTTGTCCGTCTTATGTCATTTGTGCGAACAAGAAAAATTCGATTGGTTCGATTTTCCGATCGCTCCAAATCGCGGACAAATCGCTTCGGCGTAATTCGGTCGTGCTTATGAAATTTTTGTTCAAAGCGCGTTTGAATATCTGACGTCGATGCGACCGAGTCAGAAATATAATACAACAGCCGACGAACAGGACCACTGATTTAATTTCGTTTCCCGTCGTCGTTACTCGCCATCGTCACTCGCCATCGTTGACGTTTAGCGAGCGAGTCGCGCGCGCTCCATTTTCATTTCCGTTATGAATAATATCAAGGGCCAGTTATGTATAAACGGTCGTGGCTTACCGTGTCGCGATCTGCATAACGCCTTTTTGACCGGTGCGAAACTGCGACACAACGACGCCAAAACGAAGGACGATGATCCGCATCGCGAATGCGACAAACACGATCGCGCGCGATTTTTTTTTTTTTGTTTTTTTTTCCTTAAATATAAAAAAATACACGAAACTTCGTATGAATTTAATGCCAAATGACGCGCTGGTTTTATTTTCATTCGAGTTTTATTTGTTCAATGCGTAGATCGTCGAATATTCCGCATCGATATCCAGCAAATGTCGGAGTCGATTTTAAGCGCAATTAAGCGGACAATTCCGTGAACAACGAGAACAAAATTTTAGTTCTGCCTGAAATGTGTTTTTTGTTTTGTTTCTAACTTATCATACAGAAATCATTTTGAACTGCATTTCTCTCGTAAAACACAGGTCGACGGTAAAATACAAGAGTTTTTCGGAAAAACGCCTGTCAACGCGCCGATGCGCGTTTCGAAAAACTCGCTGCGAGAAACGCGTAGCGTCGGAATAAAGGGGTGAGAGGGGAAGGCTCCGACAGCTACCGGAGCGCGTTACCGCGCCAGCAATAAATTTCAAAGTCGAACGCGAAACACACAATTGACGAATGCTCACGGACAT